GTTATGTAGCCGCGATACTCACGGCTTGTTGCATACTATGTTATATGTTTGCTATTTATTTTACTTAGTTTTTTTTTGAATTTAAAATTTAAAGGAAAATAAATAAATGAATGACAATAAATTCAAATTTGATTTTTTCTATAAAATTTGAATTATATTCATCTATATACAATGATATTTATGTTTTTTTTTAAATAATAAGAGCGTATTACTGCTTTTAATCAATACAATATTTGATGCCAATAAGAAATTTTAAGAGTGTTGATGATAAAATTAATGATTATAGTAATATAATACATATACATAAATAATACTTATTTTGTTAAAATGTGAAAATATTAAACCCTACTATGAAAATTAAGTTACATCGTTTTCAATTAATAATTTATATTTTAATAGTAAAGTTGATATTCTAAATTTATCCAATCTTAAAAGTTATTGTTGCATTTTAAAGAATTTTAATATAATGGTAATACAACATATTTCCTATTATTTTCTACTTAATGAAAATATCATAACCAAATGTTATACATATTGGGTTTGGGCTGAGTTTTGAATTGAGTCTACCGTTATATTTTGATACAACTTGATTCGAAGTTGTTTTATCTACTTAATGAAAATATTTAAAATCACATAAATGACGTAACAAATGTTGAAACACCATTTTATTAGTCTATTCTTCGTTAATAAAATAACTATTTTATGCTACTTGTAAAATCATAATTTATTTGAGAAATGTATGACAAATAAATAATTCCGTAATTTTTTTTACAGTTTTAAAAATATATGTAGGAATGTAGATGAATTATATTGTAAAAGATAAGTGAAGAGAGATGAATTATTCTATTATACAATTCAAGCATCTGCTTCTACTACTACTTAACATTTATGTTGTTTCGAACCATACTCAATTGTATTTTTTCCTTCTACTCATCATTACTCATCTTGATTTTCTTCTTAATCTCACATCAAAAATATCAAATTTATTTTGAGTCAATCAAAATCAGGTTTATATAGATTGATTGTTTTAGACAAAGAAAATCAACCTTAGTATATCTTCTCTTGTTGCATTACAAACTTGGGGTTTCTCTACTCGCTCTTTTTAAAATACCTCTGAAATAGCACATACGATTGATTTGTGAGTAAGGTTTCTTGGTTACATGTCATTTCCTCTTAACAGCCTCTTACAAAATTGACAAATATATAATATTGAAACATCAATAGTCGGATTATAAAAGAAAGTGTTATAAAATTTATCAATATTATGAAATTTAGAATATGATGGTTAGTCATATATGTATATTACTATTTATTGAAGACAACATATTTACGTTTTACAACTCTTCAACTTTAACAATTATGTTTAAATGCTATTTGAGTAAGTTAATTGTATGTATATCATAAAAGTTATGTTACATTCCAAAGAATTCATTGTGTAGAATTTATTTTGTATCAATTGTATTTAAAGTATTGTTGCAATTTAGTGTGAGCATTAACAACATAACGATAATTATTAGTATGGAGGTTACAAAATATGAGAAAATACATAAAATATAATTATTATATATTATTATAGAAAAATCTTAAATTATTACATGCTAATGATGTAGATGACATTTGTTTTAATATAAATATGATTGAATTTTTTTTAAAGACTCTTAAGATTTGATATCTTGCATTTGCTCATATTTTAGTATTGTTTTTTACTTTACTATTATTTATGTATGTAAACATCAATAAACATATGTTATCTATTACTTTTACAAAATAAATTGTTGATATAAACTCACAGATAATTTGTTTGTTTATTGATATAAACTCCCACATAATAGTTCAAATTCATATTATTTTGCAAGTGGCAAACTAAATTTATTTTTCTTATAAAAATCATATGAACTTCAATCTAATTAAAATCATCAAAGATCCAAGAATAACTTCTATATTTTTTTTAAAAAAAATTTCACTCATCAATTTAAATTATAGTGCTAGATTTTATAATAATGGTTTTATCTTTGTAGGATTTAATAAAGTAATTTTTGTTTTGATTATAGATAAGTATGAGTGTTAGGTTTCATTCTAACGATTTCATTCTAATTTTCTATTCTACCTAAATTTAATTTTCTTGAACCATATGATTTGTTTTTTTAATCTTAAGGACCAAATTTATTTTAACGAAATTCTTTTTAATTTGAAAAAATACTTAAACCTCAAATTTTAAATAAAATAAACAATATAACGATTTTTATATAATTATCTATTGGATCACAAAAAGTGAATATAATAATACATATATTAAAAATAAATTACAAAATTTATTTGAGATAAGAAAACGGTAAGAAATATATATTTAATAAATATATTACAATAATTTATTTCATTAAATATTGCATAATTTAAAAAATTACATGAATATATTAGAAAATAATCATCTAAAGTAGATAATGGAAATGGATCTTTTCAACTTCATTATCTTAATGTGCTATGAGTGGAATTGATATATTTAACTCTCCATCACCAATAAACCTGAAAATTTTGTTATAACCATCAAAACTTGTAGTATACATATGTGAATTTAAACTAAAAATATGAAAATTAAAGAAGAAATAAGTATATTTTAGTATGGCTTTAGAAATATATATAAATAAATACAATGTTAGATATATATAATACATTCTAAAATAAATTTAGAATCAAATTCTTGATTTTTAATCCATATAACAACATAAAAAATAGACACATAAATATAGTAGAAGAAGATGAGAGAATGATTACTTATAAGATGATTATCTAAAATAGACAATGAAGATGCATCTTTCAAAAAAAAAAAAAAACTAGTGTAAAAACACAAAACAAAAAATATTTAAGATTTGAGCTATAGTGGAAGAGAGTGAGAGGATGAGAGGATGAGAGAATGAGTATTTATAGGATGAGAAGTGAGATAAGTTACAATTAAAAAAAAATTATGGGAGTTACAATTCTACTTTATTGTGTGTTGAATAAAATTGAGTGGAAAAATATAGTTAATGTATAATTTTAATGATTTCAGTTTTTATATTAAAGTGTAAGTTAAATGTGTTTTATTTATGATTTAATTAAAAATAAAAAAATTTAAGTTACATTTCTAAATGGACCAATAAAAAGAGAGTGAAACCTTACTTTTATATGTATGATTTACAGATTTTGCCATTGGTTATATATATCTCAAACAAACAAAAAAAATTCAATTAAAAAAAATTAAGTAATTAATCTTTCCAGACTAAATATACGACAAGCTTAATTATATTATAAACATCTTGCAGACACGCTCCAACTCGCCTGCAAAGAGGCAGAGTCCTTTCGCATTGGAAGAGCCAGAGAAATAATCATCGATTCTCAACCAGTTCTCCTAGATCCAGGTGTGCGACCCACTCATTCAGATTTTTTGATGTGTCAGGTTGATGGATCTTGGACACACGCAGTCTCATATGCGGCATTAGATGGATTCTTATCTCTGATCGTCAGTTCACTAATCTTGGACTCAAGCACTACAAAAAAAGTCTCCATTGATAGCACAACATCATAGCACGGTTTTCTGGACTGCTATTGAAGATTAGATGTATTTTTTGTATTCATATGATAGCATTTAAATGACGCTAATAAATCGTGATTAAAGTGATATCATTGTTCCTATGCTATGGATATGCTTTCATTAAGCGGAAAAGTGAAATCATTTTTTCCGCCTAACATTTAACAAAACATTTAAGTTTTTTTTCCCTACTTTGTCGAATAGACTTATTATTTTCCCCAATTTCTCGAAAACCCTAAGAACTAGCCATCTCTGCTCAACCTCTCTCAATCCGACAATTCGCCGCTGATTAATCTTGCCTCCGCCGTCCTTTACGGTAGCCGCGAGACTAAACCTACAGCCGGTCCTAATTCCGCCTATCTCTGTCCGAGTTGAGCTCTAATCGAAGGCATGTGTCTCTGAATCTATAAATTTGTTTCTTACTTTAATTTGCCTTGTTTTCTTTTAGATTTTGTGAATCTCGACAATAATGTTGTTTGATTTTGGTTTCTTAAAGTCTGGATTTCTGATTTTAACTGATTCGAATCGTCAATTTTTTTTTTCTTTTGCATGTCATTGTTCTTCGCGAATTTAGATCTATTTGTTTGTGTGGTTTGCTTTAGGCGTAGCTAGATAGATGTCAGTACAATTTTGCTTTCAAGATTAAGATTTGTTTGGTTTGTTGTCTGAAATTTGCGATATTGAGACAAGTACTGCTTATGTTATTGTCGGGCACAATTGGATGGTTTAGGAAGTTCTATCTGTTTGTATTGAGCATTTTTTGAATCTTTAGATCTTTTGCATGTCATTGTTCTTCGCGAATTTAGATCTATTTGTTTGTCTGGTTTGCTTTAGGCGTAGCTAGATAGATGTCAGTACAATTTTGCTTGATTTGTTTGGTTTGTTGTCAAATTTGCGAGATTGAGATAAGTGCTACTTATGTTATTGTCGGACACAATTGGATGGTTTAGGAAGTTCTAACTGTTTGTATTGAGCATTTTTTGAATCTTTAGATCTTTTCAGTGCTCGTCAAACACATTCTTGCAAAACCAAACACATGAAACTAGATATATTGATTCTGTAATTTTGTTTTGCAAGTTTTGCTGTTTGAAATAATGAGAATTTGGAGCTGATCTTAGGCTCTTATCACACGACAGGTTAGTACCATCTTTGTTCCTCAATATTGAACATTACTGTGAGTTTTGTCTGCTTGGTATTATTTATTTTTGTTTGATGTGTTAGACTTATGGTGATTTGTGTTTGACAAAGTTCATTGATCTGTTCTCAGATCAATTTATATAGGTTGTTTAGATTGAGTTAATATATGAGTTTGTGTTATATATTTGCTAATTGGTATGAATATAAACTGCTTTTTTGATGTGTAAAGAGTATTTTATTAAATCTGAAATATTTTAAATGGTACTATATAAAGGTTTTAAAATACGCAATATATAATGCTCGACAAGGAGTCGGTGCACCTCTGCAGGTAAGTTGTTTTTTATATAGGCTAGTTTCAGTAGAAAATTAGGAGACTTTGCATGTTTTTTTAATTCTCTTTTTAAATCTTTAATAAAGAGTTGATCCTGCTTATGAGAGAGGAGCTACAAATTTTGTTCGGACTGTGGCTACAGCGATGGGAGACGTTGATATGATTGTTTGTCCTTGCATTGATTGCCGTAATATAGATCGTCACTCAGGCAGTGTTGTAGTTGCTCATCTGGTAACAAGGGGAATGGACGACGCTTATAAGAGGCGGTCTGATTGGTATCATCATGGAGAATTGATACCAATGGCTGAAAGTGAAAGCAATCAAAGTCAGTGGAATGATGAGATTGTTGGGTTATATCAAGCTGCTGAATTTTTGGATGAGGAGTTTGCTGCGAAGCTTGAGATTGTAGAGGGTGATGACAAGAAAGAAGATGATTTCCTTGAGAAGATTGCTGATGCTGAAACGCCACTATATCCAACTTGTGTAAACCACAACAAGCTGTCGGCTATTGTATCACTATTCAGACTTAAGACAAAGAATGGCTGGTCTGACAAGAGCTTCAATGATCTGCTGGAGACATTGCCTGAGATGCTACCAAAGGATAATGTCTTACACACCTCACTATACGAGGTGAAGAAATTTTTGAGATCCTTTGATATGGGTACCAGAAAATTCATGCATGTGTCAATGATTGCTGCTTATTTAGAAAGAAGTTCATGCTACTTGAGAACTGTCCTAAATGCAATGCTTCAAGATGGACGACTAACATGAACACTGGTGAATTAAAGAAAGGAGTCCCGCATAAAGTATTATGCTATTTTCCAATAATTCCGAGACTTAAAAGGATGTTTAGGTCTGAGCAAATGGCTAAGAATTTAAGGTGGCATTTCAGTAACAAGAGCGACGATGGCAAACTCCGTCACCCTGTGGATTCAGCCACATGGGATCAGATGAATCACAAATACCCATCATTTGCAGCAGAAGAAAGGAATCCGAGGCTTGGACTTTCTACTGATGGATTTAATCCATTCAATATGAAGAATACAAGGTATAGTTGTTGGCCTGTTTTGCTAGGAAACTACAATCTGCCACCTGACTTATGCATGAAGAATGAGAACATCATGCTTACCTTGCTAATTCCTGGGCCTCAACAGCCGGGCAATAGTATTGATGTCTACTTAGAGCCACTCATAGAGGATCTATGCCAGCTGTGGAATTATGGTGAGTTAATATATGACGCCTATAGTAAAACGACTTTTACTCTTAAGGCAATGCTGCTATGGACGATAAGTGATTTTCCTGCTTATGGGAATCTTGCTGGCTGCAAAGTAAAGGGTAAAATGGGCTGTCCTTTATATGGGAAAAATACGGACTCGAGGTGGTTGAAGTTCAGCAGAAAACATGTCTATATGTGCCACAGAAAAGGTCTTCCACCAACACATACTTATAGGGGAAAGAAGTCATGGTTTGATGGAAAAGCTGAACATGAGAGAAAGGGAAGGATACTAAGTGGTCGTGAAATTTTTCAAAACCTGAAAAATTTCAAAAACAACTTTGGAAATCTGAAACAAGCTGCAAGAAAAAGAAAAAAAGAGGGAAAATACTGAATTAGACTCTGACAGTGAGGATTTATCTAGTGAGTCATAAGAAGATGAGGAGGAAGAAGTACAAGTTGACGAGGAGGAGTTATCCAGATGGAAGAAAAGGTCGATTTTATCAAGCTACCTTATTGGGAGGAACTCCCTGTTAGACATAACCTAGATGTAATGCATGTGGAGAGAAATGTGGCTGCGAGTATTGTATGAACATTGTTACATTGTGGAAAATCAAAAGATGGTTTAAATGCTCGTAGAGATTTGGAGGATCTTGGTATTAGGAAGGAATTGTACCCTAAATTCAGAGGAAAAAGAACATACCTACCTGCAGCAGTTTGGTCTTTATCCAAGACAGAGAAGAAGATTTTTTGTAGGCGACTTTTTGATTTCAAAAGCCCAGATGGGTACTGCTCCAACATATCTAGAGGCGTATCATTGGAAGATTGTATGATCACATGATTGATATCACATGATTATCATGTGTTAATGCAGCAGCTTCTTCCCATTGCACTTAGAGGTTTGCTACCTAAAGGTCCTAGGGTAGCAATTGTACGCTTATGCGCTTTTTTCAACAAGTTGTGTCAACGAGTAATTGATAGGGAGCAAATATTGGCAATGGAGGCTAAGATTGTTGAAACTCTGTGCATGTTTGAAAGATATTTCCCTCCAAGTTTCTTTGATATAGTGGTACACTTGACGGTTCATCTAGGAAGGGAAGCTCGTCTTGGAGGACCGGTTCATTTTAGATGGATGTATCCGTTTGAGAGGTACATGAAAGTCCTAAAAGACTTTGTCCGAAACACTACAAGACCAGAGGGGTGCATTGCTGAGTGTTATCTTGCAGAAGAATGCATCCAGTTTTGTAATCAATTTTTGAAGAAGACGACAAATTTTCAAGAGAAAGTAGACAGAAACATTGAGTATGAAAACAGCTCTATTCTTGAGGGGCGTCCAATATCTGCAGGTATATCAATTTCTCTCACTGATATGGAGACGAAAATTGCCCATATGGCTGTCATTCAAAATATGGCTGTGGTTGAACCTTATGTGGAGTAAGTTCCGCATTTTAATCTAGTTCATTATACATTCCTATATTTGACGCCTATTGTAACTGATTTCTTCTTATTTTCATTTTGCCTGACAAGTGCACATCTGCAACATCTACAAGACTCAAACGGAAGATGCAGACGTGATGCATCAACATTATGGACTATGCATACTCAGAATTTCGTCTCTTGGTTAAAAAATCAGGCGAGTAAATATTTTATCAGAATATATGACCTACTGTTTACGTCTATAGCTGTCTGACATATTTTTTTTTCCTTTTGTTAGATACCGCTTGATTCAAACAGTCATGCTGAGACACTTAAATGGTTGGCATTTGGTCCACGTACCTGTGCACGGTCATATAGAGGATATATAGTAAATGGGCAGCGGTTTCACATAATATCAGTAGATAGAAAAAGTCAGAATAGTGGTGTTTACTATGAGACTACAGCAATCTGCAGGTCTAGTGCTAAGGATACTTCACAAGTGGTGGACTTGGTATCATACTATGGGACAGTAACAAACATTATCTTGTTGGACTACAATGTGTTTTATGTCCCTTTATTCAGGTGTCAATGGGCAGTGAAGGGTAATAGAGTAAAGGAAGAAGATGGTTTCACGCTCGTTAACCTGAATCATAGTCAAGTTAGTTTTTCAAGGGACCCGTACATATTAGCCTCTCTAGCAAAGCAAGTGTTTTACTCAAGGGAAGACGAGTCATCAAGCTGGCATGTTGCTATGAGAGGTCCTTCTAGAAGATTCAGTCAGAATGAGTTTGAAGCTGGAGATGCAGACATTAGTCCTTTGCCTGCAAATATTGACATGGGTGTTGACTTGGATGAAACAAAAAATGAAAGAACTGATTGCAAAGGCATATATGTGTGGTTCTTCATCGTTTTCATGATTAGTTGGACTTTGTTTGAATAGATGTCTGATAGGGAATTGTTTGTTTCATATATATTATGTTGCTTAGCTAAATGTCAGATAGAGAATTGATTGTTTCATATATATTTAATATATTTTAATATTTCTTTCTGTTTCTTTTTCCAGGTGATTTGAAATGGGAACTGGAAAGAAAAAGAGAGGAAGAAAACCTAAACAGAAATATGATGAGGTATAATATGTGAGTACCCGTGAACCTGAACCAGTAGAACCATAACATGTAGAACTAGAACCCCAAGTACAAGCTGAGCAAGAGCAGTTGATAGACACAGATATTCTTAATGCGACAACTGCTGAATTAAACGGAGAAGATCCTCAACTAAAGCTCAATGAAGAAGAGCTTGAAGGTGAAGTGACGCCTAATGACGCTGAGAAAGGTCTGATTGATGAAGAGCCTGAAGGTGAGATACAATTATCTGAAGATCATGATAACGTTGAGAGAAAGAGTAAGAGACAGCGAGGACCAACACGCATGAAAGACATCGCCAAGGATCCAAATACCAGAGTACATGTAGAGTTCAATAGCCTAGGAGAACCTTATGGTAAAGGGTCTGTTAAGATGGCATCTTACGTTGGAGCATTGGTACAGGAACATGTTCCTATCACATTTGATCGTTGGAAAAGAATAAGTGAAGAAATCAGGACACTTCTCTAGAAATCTGTCCACCCGATTTCGTAATGCAAAACCTCAAGATGTTTAAGTTCAAAATCTGTAGGTCTTCTATTTACCTTTTTATTTTTTTGTTTTGGTGAACTATAATTGCAGGCAAGGTTTGAGATAGATGAAGAGCACCAGAAGACTGCAGTGCTTAAGCAGATGGGATGTCTGTGGAGGTCATGGAAATCCCGTCTACTCACCCAGATTAGACAAGCCAATACTAACCAACAGAGGATGAAGTTGCGACCTAAGAATGTTTCTCCATTTGAGTGGCATAAACTAGTCAAAATCAAAACTAGCAAAGAGTTTAAGGTAATCACTTGTACTTAAGGTTATTTCATATATAGTATTTTACATTAAAACATTTCTCTGTTAGGTTGTAAGTGATAGCTATAAGGAACGAAGGAGCAAACAGATTCCTCACACCACTAGCCGCAAAGGAATGGTTAGACTAGCAGAAGATATGGTAATCATACTACAATTATGTTGCATGTTTTTCCTCATTGACTACTTTTGAATACTTATTATTTGTAAAAATTTTTTTGTTCTAAATTAGAAAAAGGAGAGTTCAAATCCAAGTGAAGTGTAAGGCTAGAGGTCTGGATCAAGTCACGTACCAGAAAAGATGGTACACTAGTGAATAAAAATGCGGCTGAAAAGATTGTGAGTTACAAAATATTGGACTATGTTCTGCATGTTGGAATTAGATCATAACGTTTGAAGTTGTATCTTGTGATTGGCAGAGAGAGGCAGCTGAGATTGTTAAAAGTGATACTCCAGCATTTGCTTGTTTTGATGGCCAAGATTCACTTAGCCAGCTACTAGGACCTGATAATCCTGGTCGAATGAGGGCAATGGGTAGAAACATGAATAAGACCAAATTAGCATGTTTCCAAGCGAAGAACAAGTGTATGGCTGAAATGGAAGCGAAGCAAACTCATCTATTGTTGAAGGTCAATGAGTTAGAAGATGTAATTGAAAAATTGAAGAACCAGGTTAGACAGTTCTCTACTTATAGTTTAAGCTGATGCATTATAACACTATATTTGACTTTATTTTATTTTTGTAACAGAGACAAGAGCATGATGCTGCTTCAAACTCAGCTGCTAGAGTAAGTTTTTAATTTATATCAAATGCATGTTTTATTTGTTTCTGGAAACTCTAGTAACTAGTCTTTTATTTATTTTATAGAGCGTAAACAAAAGATCACAGCCTAAGTGTATCTTGATTGATTGGACTGGTAATGGTGATGCAATTGTTGCTGAAGGGCGTATTATTATCTCTGATCCATATGAGTTAGTGAATGATTGTCGCTTAGGCCCTTCGGATGTCAAAGTTTTGGTTGACACTGCTACGGTACTAGACACATATCTTTGGAGACCTGCGCCTAACATATGCACAATTGAATCTGCTATCGGACAGATGATTGTTTGGCCTGCCTCTAAGTGTGTTAACCTAGAAAATGAGCATGAACCAGAAGACATTGCACAACTGGTAAAGTTTATTATTCACCTTCATGAATATAGGAATATTTATATCTATGGAAGAATGATCATGTTGTGTGAATGTGTTTGACAGAGCCAAAGAACTAATTCAGCGATGAACAAATGCAAGCTGCTGGATTTGTCTTCAGATGACGTGGTTGTTGCTGAAGGGTGTTGGCAGACAGAAGATCTTGATGCCTTAGTAAATGGGCTACCTCTAGGACCAAATGCAGTGAAGATCTTTATAGATGTGGTATGTCAACCTGAGACATTTATCTGGAGGCCTACGATTGATGTAACATACCTTGATGACTGTCTAAAAACATTTGTATCATGGCCGGTGAACAAAGTCGTCTTTCAAAACACAACAGATGCAATAGGTCAGCAATCTCCAATTCAGAAATCTGCATCAACTCAGCAATCTTCAGGAGGAAAATCTGCAGCAACAGCTTAGAAATCAGTGGAAACAAGTCAGAAAACTGCTGCAGCATGTCAAAAAACTGCTGCAACAGTCTCAAAACCTCCTGCAGAGAAGTCTCCACCATCTGGTCGAGAATCTCCTATCCAGAAAAGTCAACGACCTACACTAATATCTCCTCTTCGAAGATCTCCGGTAAATCTTTTTGATATGTTGTGCAGGTGATTGTGATTATTAGATCTCTCCGTTATAAACTGACTAGTTTTTTAATCATGACAGCGTAAAACGGGAGCTGAGGTCATCAAAGAAAATAAAAAACGGAAGTTGATGGATATTAGTGGAAGGAAGCAGATTGTCGCCGAAGGACGTGTGCATTCAGTCAACCCAGACATTAAGGTCCATTGTGTTCGCTTGGGTTCAAATATAGCTAGAGTATGGGTTGATATAGTGAAGATAGATGATGCAGCGGTTTGGAGGCCATCAGATGAAATCGAGTACATGAGAGATGCACTTGGTTCATCTATTGCATGGCCAATGGATAAGTTGGTCATCTTTTGATCGGTTTAAGAAACTGAGGTATGTATATTGTCTTGCTTGTGCTTTAACTTGATCTGTTGATGATATCACAAATCTGATATAAGATTGCTTCTTGCAGGGGAATGAAGTAACTTTGGTCCATGTTAGCTAGATTTAATTAAGTTTAAGACAGAGCTAATCATCAAAAATAGTTTGGAATCCTAAAACATTGTGGCCAAAAAGCTTACAATAACATGATAACATAATTCAACAAAATCAAAATCCAAGTCCAGTCTGTAGGAATGCTAGCCTATGAATCTCTATAAACCACTTACAAGTCTTTTTAGTGGTCCACAAACTTCGATTTGACATGAGCTAGGCTGCTTCAACAATGAAAGTAGATCTCTTAAGACAGAATCTTCTTCTAGAATAGAATTAGAACTTTTCCAGTTCAGAACAAATTTCTTGAGGATGCCTGAGTTTTTTGCAAAGTACTTTGCTACTTCCATTGCAACAAGCTCTGCCTGATATTGGCTTTTTATGTCTACAAACTGTATTTTGCAGGGTTTAATTACTGAACAATTTTTGATTATTACCAAAATTTTCAAGATATTGCTGGATTCAATACATCATACCGCTACTTCATGAAAACCTTTAAACAAGGAAATACTTCTTTTGAGTGAAATTTGGAATGCATTGAGCGAGAAAAGAGCTGAAAATGTGCAAATATATTCTTTCTACAACTTCTCTTCTAGAGATAGTGGTTGAGATTGGTGGATCTATTGCGGCTCCCAATTATTCTTTCAAGATGATGTTTGGTAAGATTATATATGAAGAAAATTCAGTGGTGAAAGATGAGTTTGACATCTCTATGCTTGAAAAAAAGATGTCTTTTGTCAGAAGTAATTCCAAACACTCTTCAAAGAAGAAAGCAAATGTAGCGATAATTAGGACAACTTATTGGTTCTTTTTTTTTTTTGGACAAATGTTGATGGTTCTTTAGTCTTCTTGATATTTGGTATTAAAATGCTTCGGACAAAGCGATAATTAGTACAACTTGATGGTTCTTTTTTTTGGACAAATGTTGATGGTTCTTTAGTCTTCTTGATATTTGGTATTAAAATGCTTTGGACAAAACGATTTAAAGTGGTTGTTTGCAAGAAATTTTTTTTGTCAACGAATTTGTATCTCGTCGAGGAAAGATCAAGAATTCTCAACTAGTGTTAGTAATTTATATTCTTGTATAAGAAAGATAAATAAATAAGCTAATTAACCTTAAGTTTAAGAAATCTTAAACAAACAATACTGTATTTTAGTACTTCCCCGTTTCATAATATAAAATATTTTGGAAAAACTTTTTTGTTTCATAATAAAAATATTTTTAAGTTTCAATATAAATTATAGAGTAATTTAATATTTTATGATTATTTATATTATGCAGCTTTTTTCATGATTGGTTGAATCTTTTAAACATAAATATTATTTAATCTACTTATTTTTAGTTAAAACATCTTATATTTTTTTTTTCCAACCACACAATAATAAATTAAAAAATAACTCCTTGGTTGGTTGCCCAATTAGGAGGTAAAGTGTTTACAAAAGTAAAATCAGAAAGCATCTTATATTTTGAAAGAGAAAGAATAACAAAAACAAATAATGCTACATTTCCAGGAAAACAATCACAATAAAAAGAAACACATTTGTAGCATCTAATATTATTTCTATTAGCAATTACAATATTTATATTTATGTTTATACTTATATTTATATTCTGTGAATAATTGTTTGTTAGTCAATTTCTAAAAATTTCATCAACTATTAACAAAGATGTGTTGATTGTTTGTTATTTAAGTTAGAATTTTTTTTAATCATTTTTGATCATTTTACAGATAAAACGAAATCTAATACAAAAAATCGATGATTCGAATAAACTAAAAAATATAGCACATGTTTTGTAACACATACAAATCTTAGATTTTAGATAATAATACAATAAATTTTGTAACTAACACTACAATGCATTTACTTAATAATCATTTCACCCCGCGGATAAACTACCTAGTATGATTTTTGTGATTCATCTCATTTCGTTTTTGTATATCTATTATTTGGCTAATATTATATTTTAGATTTTTTTAAGTTTGGTGTTTAAGTTTTCTTTCGATGAAAGAAAACAATAAATGTGTATGAGTTAATTGAGTCATTAAATTTTAGTTGTAATGCTAGTTTTAGGTTGAGAAACTCAAGCGAGAGACAACTCTCTAAATATCTCGTCTCTCGCCATTGCCATGCATGTGATTATTTTCTTAAGTATCAAAAAACTATAAATATTGTATATCATTGATGGAAGATTGCCAATAGTATTCTCTGATTTTGATTTGATTTCGAGTTATCAATCACGCTAAGTTAGTGGTGTTAAATGGATACCATTTGAAGATTGTATATTTTAATGAAAAAAAAAATATTAGTTGGTGAGTCAAAAATGTTAATCCTACTATTAGAAATACAAAATAGAAACTAACCTCAAAGTTGTTAAAAAGTACAGTATAGGACGTTTAATACCCAAAATATACTCTATTTTTTATTATTTGGACATGTGATTATCCAAACTTTTTTTGTTGGAAGAAAAATACCTCATTTATTTATATTCGGTCTAATAATTAATAACTCATCTTTGAATTTTTGGTCGGTTCAAACCTCCGACTTAACGGATAATATGAAATTAGTAAACGGCGTTAAATTTTAACGGAAAAAAACACCACCCCATCTAATTTTTAGACGTTCAATACCCCAACTTGTTTGGTTGAAACTTCAAACAAATATATTTTATTTAAATATATTTGATCTAAAAATACTTCACAATCTTTGAACTGTTCGTGGATTTAAGTGTGCAACTTCACAAAATCATTAAACAACATTAAATGTTAACCGCATATGTAGATATATACAATCTCTATTCAAAATTTTATAAATATATTGGCGTGATATAGGAATAACAAGTAGGTTATTTATGAAGATACAAGAGTATCTGAGATATCAAAAAATAAGTAATTTGCTTATCATATCTCGCAATTGGGAAACCTGAAAGCCGTTTGACGGATGTTTCTCAAACATCTTCTCCTTTATTAAATCTGCTCACAAAATTATACTGAAGATTCAACATAAACAACCACGAAATCTAAATCATCAGACTCTCAATTAGTAGCACTTGAGTAAAATCACCTCATGGATTTAGGCTTTTGTATGTTAGAAGATTCAAAGGTTCAAAGGCCAGAACGCAATGAGAAAGTGTAAGGTTCATGCCAACTGTGTTATCTCTCTTGATTTTCCTAAAAAGTACTCAATCTATGTATTTTGGTGTCTAATGTAATAATATCTAAACCATATTGAAGTATAGATAGAACACTAATTGGTCATTCATTGATCTTTTTTATTTCCAAATTGTGCAGGAGACGAAGAAGAGGTCATCCATCAGCTCACATATAGCTCATAGCATAATGCCTTAACCTCAGTAAAGAATGACTTGACTTGTTCCCACTTAGATGTTGGAGCATCAGCATTACATATTTTCCAGATAGTCCTTGTGGAGAAGAGTCATCATTTGCACAAACTACACGGCTCATCTAGGAAGATGGTTTGTCCCATCACAAGAACAAAGTAAAGAGATTTAAACCAAATCACTCCAATTTATTTGTATCTTCCAATTTTTAGTAACCTCTTACACAAAAATAGTTTGGAATCCTAAAACATTGTGGCCAAAAAGCACAATAACATGATAACAGAATTCAACAAAATCAAAATCCAAGTCTAGTCTCTAGGAATGCTAGCCTAGGAATCTTTAGGAACCACTTACAAGTCTTTCTAGTGGTCCACAAACTTCGATTTGACACGAGCTAGGTTGCTTCAGCAATGCAAGTAGACCCCTTAAGACAGAATCTTCTTCTAGAATAGAATTAGAACCTTTCCATCTCAGAACAAGTTTCTTGAGGATGACTGAGTTTTCTGCAAAGTAACTTGCTAGTTCCATTGCAACAAACTCTGCCTGATATTGGCTTTTTATGTCTACACACTCGAGTGATGAAACACTGAGGCACAGGCGAGACTGTCATTTGTTTTGTTTTGACCATAGAATAAGTTAAACCCTGCAAAATACATAAGATTAATGAGTATACTAGAAAACATATATCGTTAAATGCATACTTATGTTAAGACTCTAGAATTGGCTCAAGTCATCACCAAGACAATGGATTTAATATTCGGAAAGCTTTCAAGAAGCGTTGGCAGGATTTCCAGAATTTTCACGGTCTTTAAATGGACTTCTGCTTCTAAGCTGGACATGTTGCAAAACTGGGGTAATGGTTCTACTACTTTCAAGTATGTATAGTATCCAAGATATAAAATTAAAAATCACCTTACCAAAAATAAGAGTATTGTCACATGACTATTATTTCTTTTTTATCTTTTTTTTTTTTAACTTGAACTTCCATTAGAACGAAAATAACAATTAAGATTGCTTCTCGAAATAATATTTGAGGTTTCAGTGTCCGCAATTTAGGCAGCAAGTTGTCTATTGTTTTAGGCAGTTCACAGAGAAAACAAAACACATAAAAGTTTACCATGAGATTTGTTTCATAGGCATCTATAATGAGTAGTAGAAGGCAACGCCTTTACACATACATTCTCAAAACCTTCGGCTTAAGTTTCCAGATATTAATGCATAGAAACTATCCTTCAAATAGTAATGCTACAACCTTAAAAATGCAGAGAATTAAAAATCAGAGAAAGATGAAATAAATAAAGATACAACTTTGTTAGTTCCGTCTTTAGTTGCGCATCTTTTCAAAGAAAGCTGTCCAAGAAAATAATAAACAGAAAACTTCAAGTCAAAAGAACAAAAATTTTGCGTCGACACCTGACTCTTGTTAAATAGTTTTCATAATACCTTAACAATCCAACTATCGATGGTAACGAACTCTTAATAAGTAATAAACCACTAATTGTATCACATAGTATGGTACTAGTAACTACGAAGAGACAAATTACTTGCAACTTAAATCTGTTTTGTTTTGTGTGTGTTACAAAATACTCTTAATCGGTTATACACACCAACGTTGATACCTCTTACTTCATCTACTTATTACCACCAAACTCACTTTGATAAT